GGGTGTGGGGTGTGGGGTGTGGGTGTGGATGTGGGGTGTGGGTGTGGATGGCTTGGTGTGGGTGTGGGTGGGCGTGCGTGTGGGTGTGGGTGGGTGGGGTGTGTGGGTGTGGGAATGGGTAGGGTGGAGCGTGTGGATGTGTGTGGGGGTGTATGGGTGTGGATAAACAGAAAGAAAATACATCCACACCCAAACGTATCCACACCGACACCCACCCACACCCACACCCCACCCACACACGCCCACACCCCACCCACACACACCCACACCCTCATCCTTTTTTTATCGATATAATCAACAATAAAAAAATTAACCAAAATGACACCGATTACTTCTTGTCGGGTTAAAGATATTATTGAACTAATATCATTAATAATATCGCTAATTAAATCACCACTATTCATTTTTTTGTTGACAATTGTAATCATTCTATTTGTAGGCATATGTCGTAATGGACAATGGCTTCCGTTGGTACGAGCTTTTATAAAGTTTAGTTCTTTAGTCATAGGTTTGATCATATCGCCGACATCGGCGTGCTTTTTCATAGTTACTTTTTGTGGCATTTTCCGAAGAATTAATCTAAAACAAAATAATGTGAAGAAGGTGCATAATTATAGTACATTTAGCGAAACGAATTAGCGCCACTTTTGTAGCGATAATATATAAAATCAATTTCGAAATATATTACCAAGGAATTCATTTTTCTGCTCGTATCCTTTTTCAAAAAAATTCCTTAAAAATGATTCTCGTCATTCCTATCTCTCGGTCTTTATTCTAATGTAATTTGTAGTATATTATTTCGAGTATATATTACTATCAATGTCTATACCGTGACTTTATTGAAGTATGTTGTGTTCGATCAAAACGTGATTGTTCAGAAACATGATCTTTAGCTGGATGCCATCTAAATTAAATGTATTTTATTTATTGAATAATCCTTTCTCTTACTCAATCGGATCGAAAAAGCGAGCATTTAGAAAACATTGTTGGTTTGTATTACCATCCCAATCATCATCTGTATTATCATATATAGATTAATTAAAAATCGAAAAATTTATGTTTATTTCGAATATTTATTTACATTGAAGATGTTGTTGGTGGTCCTCTTGATGTATTTGCAAAACGAATACCACCATCATTTGAAGGTGTAGAAGTAGATATATCTCGTGATTGATCATTTTTATTATTAGATTTTGATTGAAACCATGGATGATCATTTTTTATTATTTCGTTTATTGATGAAGATGAATATTGTTCATTAATAATATCAGTTTTTATTGCTAAAGGTTTTTCGTTAGTTGAAGTTATTGAAGTAAAAAGTGATGCGTTTTGACGTAGTGGAAATGAAGCGATATTTGAGATTGGTTTTTTATAGATTGTGCACTTGTATCTACGATTTCATATTCACCTAAATAGGATACAATTGATACAAGTCTTGATGATGTTATAGGTGGAATAGAAGTTGAAGAAATAGAAAGAGTTTTCATTTGATCCATTAGAAGTATTGTTGATGATGAAATTGTATTTGGTGATGATTGACATTGATTTGCTATTGGTGGAGGAAAAATTATTGAAGGTTTATAAATTTGAGTTGGGAGGATAACAAGTGGTGATGTAATTGTTGTTGTTTGATTCGAAGCTGTTAGCAGATTTCTATTTGCATATTCGTTAGAAGTAAGTGGGTCTCCTATGAAATATAAATAACGAAAAGGAAATTTCGAGTGAATAATCTATGAAGTTCATGAAATAAAAACCTATTCGTCCATTAGTACTGATGATTGTTTCTTGTTTATTTATTTTCTGAACAGGAATTATTTTCTCAAATGACATTGCTTTCATTTCCATTGGTAATGAATTAATCTTTTCAATTATAGATTCATATATTAAAATAGCAGTTAATATTATGTAAATTGGCAATAACATACCTCCCGAAGACACACCGTGAAATACAAGATCTGTCTCTGTAGAATATAATTCCACAAAATCAAATCTTGTAGAACAGCAATATATCTTGACTAGAAATTAATATTGCACAATTACGGACACTATAGCAGTGTAAACGTAGATATAACATTACCAATGAGTATTTTTCGTTCTTCATATATATACATTAGGATTTCTACAGGATTTGTTTTTGTGGAATTATATTCTACAGAGACAGATCTTGTATTTCACGGTGTGTCTTCGGGAGGTATGTTATTGCCAATTTACATAATGTTAACTGCTATTTTAATATATGAATCTATAATTTAATAAGTCGCTCATAATTCTATCTTTAGTAATATCAAGCAGCATATGAGCGCATGTTCGATACCCAATATGGGAGGAAGTTGTTTTCGACTATACCATTGTATATGAAAACAACAGAACGAGTGTAAATACGTCTTCATATATTCAAAAATACTTTAGTTCGCTCTGTGATGATACAGGCCTAATGTATATATATGAAGAACGGAAAAAATACTCATTAGTAATGTTATCTCTACGTTTACACTGTTATAGTGTCTATAATTGTGTAATATCAATCTCTAGTCAAGATATATTGGTGTTCTGCAGGATTTGATTTTGTGGAATTATATTCTACAGAGACAGATCTTGTATTTCAGGGTGTGTCTTCGGAAGATATAATATTGCCAATTTACATAATATTAACTGCTATTTTAATATATGAATCTATAATTTAATAAGTCGCTCATAATTCTATGTTTAATCTTTCCAAGATTTGTTAATACAGCTAAAAAATCCTCTTTTTCAAAATAACTAATATTCAGACATTTTACCTGACATATTTTTATACATTTGCTTGTTGAATAATTCTTAACAGATTTTGATGATTTGTTTCAAATAATTGCGATGACTGTCGATTTGTATTTGGAGCAACACATGTAAAACATTACTGAATAGTATCTTCAAGTTTAACTAAATAAAAAAAAACAATGAATAAATGAAGATGAAGAAGAAATATTTACCAGCAAATTGCTGAATATCATCATAAATTAATTCTGATTCTGGTGCAAAACGAGTAAATGTTTGTGCAAGTGATAGTAAAACATTAAATGTATCTTGTGGATTGTATATATTAATCCAAGACAATCATCTAAAGCTGGTCGAAGAAATGTATTAACTGCATGAGCAAATGGATGAACTCTGTAGAATAATTTATAGAAAATAATTGAAATAAAGAGAGTCATACTGATGAGCAAAAAATTTGAAAAGTAATAATTTTGGTCGATCGAAACTATTCGATGATAATGCATATAGTTTCATCATTGATAAACTTTGGTTCTATATGAATATTCGGAAAAAGAAAAACGACATGACGATTCTTAGTTCCTCACTTTTTTCATCCATTTTTTAAATCCAATCGGATTTAATGATATCTTCAAGTTTCGTTGATATTCCTATTAAGTGCGATATCTTGATTTCGTGAAGAGTTCGATTAATAGATTGTTGACCAAGTGAAATTTTAAAAGTATTTTTGCGGATATTCGTGGAGGAATAGGAGGTGATGAGGGTGAATTTGATGATAAAGTTGCAGAATTTATATTGATTGAATTTAATATATCAGGCGATTTAATCGGTAATTATTGGACTAAAATATGTCCCTGATCATTACTGATTAGATCAGATTGAAAAATAATTATTTGTTAGTTGTTTTTGCCTGAAAGAAACCATAAAAAGATTTTTATACGATATAAACTTTAACTTTACTTCAATGTTTGATGCAATCATCGGTTTAGTTGAACTATTAGTTAAGTCGATGGGTAAAGCATTTAAAAGAATACCATTTTGTTTTTTTCAATGAAGACTTTTCGCAGAACGAGACATTTGATACTAGTTCTTGTTGGACTATGTTGTATTGAAATACTTGATGATCAATTATTAGTAAATAAAACTCTACTACATGATCCATTATTTGGTGATGTTTCATCAGTTCGATAAAGACTAGATGTTGATGACTTTGGTTGTTTACGACTAATAATATTATCATTTGTAGTTCGATGAGAACTTATTTTTATAGGTGAAATATGTTCATCAGATTTTGTCTAAAAATGAAAATCAATAAATTTGAAAAACAAGAAGTTTTTATCTACTGATGGTGTTATTCGAGTATTTTTTTCGTTGATTTTGTTCAACATCAAATTGTTCTCTTGGTGAAATTATTATATTTTCATTTGATTATATTTGATTATTATCATCAGTAATTGAATTTGGTATTGTTGTTGTTGAAGGACGACGAAATCTTGCAACAACAATATTCGAATCTGATGATTCTCCATATTGACCATATGTTCGAAGTTTTATTTTACATTCTCCTTCATCATGAATACAATCAATAATAACTTCAAATCAATGGCGGATTTAGAGGGAGGGCACTGGGGGCGATCGTCCCCTTCCAAAGAAGTTTTTCGATTTTTCCTAGCAGAAAAGGCTAAAAAAAGAGCTGATACTACCTCTAATGAGCTTCAAAACACGTATTATGGTCATGATCGCCCCCCCCCCATCCCCACGGAAGCGCCTCAGGGTGTGGGTGTGGACATTGTCTTCAATGACACCTGCCCGCACCCATATTCACCCTCACCCACATGGGATGCCGTTCCCCTATTGATTGATGGAATGTTAATGATGCTTCGATGAAGAATATGCCAAAAACTAACAATCATGTAGAATGCTACAATAGCAAACTTGCTAGATTATTTCTAATTCATCCAAATATTAACAGATTTATTGAACTTCTACGTGATGAACATTGATGTCAACATCATATATCTATGCAACCAGGCAACATAAGTTGACTGAATGTATTAATGCTCAGCTTTTTACTCTTCTCAGTGACACATCAATGGTGAGCTCACAGACTTACGATTGGCCCTTGCAAATGGTAAATCTGTAAAAAAAAACTTTTCTTTGTTATATAAAGAGTGGCCCAGAATTTCTGACTCAGTTTGAATAATAAATTTTTCTTTAGTGCAATACGTAGTTGAAAATTTGTTTCTCGGGTGAAAAGATGCAGTAAAACATTCTCTACAAAATGGCTTTTGATTGACCCTGGTAGCTCTTATAGTAACAAAGTTACAAGGTTAGAAATATACTTTTAAAAAAAATGAAAATTAACTGTGAAGTTTTCACAGGTAAAAAAAGAAAATAGTGGACTGAATATGGTTGGAGCATTCAGTTTACTGCCAAAGCCACTCTAAAGTCATTATAAATTTAATTCTAGATATCAAACACGATTGTTGTACACGAAAAAGTAGAGTTTCGAAACTTTAATGAATTCAAGAACCCCTTTCGGACTACATGCATTCGTACAAAATCCTTAAAAACGTTTCCTAGATCCTTGATAAGTCTTTTGAAGAGCCTAGTAAGAATGTACGTGATCTCAATGGATTTTGAATTCGTTGCAATTTCGAAACTCTACTTTTTCGTGCACAATAATCGTGTTTGAAATCTGGAATTAATTTTATAATGACTTTAGAGTGGCTTTGGCAGTAAACTGAGTGCTCCAACCATATTCAGTCCACTATTTTCTTTTTTTACCTGTAAAAGCTTCACAGTTAATTTTCATTGTTTTTTAAAGTATATTTAAAAGCCATTTTGTAGAGAATGTTTTACTGCATTTTTGCACCTGAGAAACAAATTTTTAACTACGTATTGTTCTAAAGAAAAATTTAAATATTCAAACCGAGTCAAAACTTCTGGGCAACCCTTTATGTAAATGTCTATGAGCTTTTCAATGTGGACAAGTTTTGGATATGTTTGGCTTGTGAGTGACTGAACAATAAAAATAACAACCTTCTTCATACGTTTCTCTAATCATAAATATTGATCTTTCCATTGATTATGTTTTTTTAATGAACTCAAAAAAAAAGTAACATACTTGCTGCTTGCATGACAGTCTAATCTATGAAATTTGGCAAAAAAGGAGAAGAAAAGACCTTAAATCTCATCTAAATTTGATATAATTACTCCGCCGCTTAGACACCGAATTGTTTTGTATGATGAAAAATCTCGTTGCAATTCATCGAAAAAGTCAGTTCTACTGCGTTATTATTATAATGAAATTGATGAAACCAATTTCAGCTTAGCTTCATTATCATCGGTAGAAGTAACAGATTTTGATAAGAACGTATGAGTCTGAAGAAAAAGTTTGTGAATCTATTTGATATTTATATGAATCTCTTCTGCTCTACGAATTCTTACTGTTATAATCATTGAATGAATAACGACGAACGTAGCATCTTGCACATAGAGATGATATGAAAAATGATCACGTACTATTTTTGTGAATCAATTCAGCTCGTATGAATACAATTGCAGTATTTCATTTCTTTAAAAACAAATTGCGCGGAAAAATGGAATATTCTCATGAATGACTGATTAAAAATTGTAGGGTGTAATAAACTATTTCACGTCGGTGGAAATTATTAGATTTGAAATAAAATTGAGGAAATTATGGGTTTTTTTATTTATTTATATAAAATAGACGAAAAAGACAAATTTACTGTCGTAGACAGTGATATTTTTAAGATGAATATTGATGCTTTACATTTGTATTTAGATGTCTTTTTTGACCTGTATGAATTTTTCCATTAGATCGATGATTGGATATAGAAATTTGTTGTAACGATAAAGCTCGTTGATTTGAATGATAATTAAATTTTGTTTGACAACAACAACAAAATAATTTTCGAAGAATTTTCGAAAAACTTTGTCGAAATTTTGAACAAAATATCGCATAAACAATTGGATTTGATGCTGAACTCAATGTTACTAAAAGCATTGTAAAAGCAAGAAAATAAGGTGTTGTTATAAATTGTGGAACAGTTTGAATAATATTTGTTTCA